GAAGGTATGTAAAAGCTACAGCTCCCATACACTGCTGATCAAAGAGGAAGGGTTGCTCAAGACTTTGAAGATTTAAGCATAACATGAGCATAGCAACTAACCAACAGCTCTACTCCTAACACGCTCCTAGGATACAAAGAAAAGGACAAAAGTAGGGAAACACAATAGTGGAAGAGAATACTTCAGAATGGTTACTGCAGTCTTGTTCAAAGAGGCAAAAAGCAGAAAAAAACTTTAAATATCTATCACCATTGGTGGGTTCAAAAGAAAATGGTCCTTAAAGCTTTCAATGCAATTACTAAATGAACAAGTCAACTTTATAGGTACTGAATGGTGAACATGACTACAATACCTTGCCAAGTGAAAATGCAAAGTAAAGAACTCATGTACAAAAAAATAAATTAAAAAAGAACTCATGTACACTTCACTATTAGATATTATTGAATAAAATAGGTATAAAGTTTGCATAGATATATGCATACATATTCAATAACTTCAATAAAAAGAAAACATGCATACAAAACTGCTAAGAATACTTGCCTGTAGGATTGGCAAAAAATATAATAATAAAATGTTTCACATCCTAATATGTTTCTTAGGGTTTTTCTGAAGCAGTAATAGAAAGAGAGCATAAAAATGACATGAATTGGTGTTAGAGTCTCTAAACAAGTCAGGATGGCGCCTGGCAAAAGTTAGAGTCTATAAACAAGCTGGGATGGCGCCTGGCATTTTGCCAGGGGAAGTGGTTTGTGAGGTGGTGCCAGTGAGCCATTAAGTGTGGAGATTCCTTATTGGTTGACTGCTGTTCTAGTTTATGTTAATTAGGATAACCTGTGTGGAATGTATAAATACCCTTCCTGTCCTACAATAAACGGCTCCTACTCCTGCTGTATCAATGTACACAAGTTGCTCATCACCCCCCCGACTATTTTGCTGCAGCCGGACTGCAGCAAATTGGGGCCTGGGAATACAGCTCAGTTGGTAGAGTGCTTACTGAACATGCACAAGGCACTGAGTTCAATCCCCAGCAACACCAAAAACAAACAAGCAAACAGATAAAAAAGAAATGACATGAATTCCATCACTGATATGCACATAAATATCAATGAGGCCAGCTTTATAGAATTTGCTAACCCACACTTAATGAATAGGCACCAAACAATTGTTAGCCCAGGAAGAAATGCCAGATACAATGGATATTAAAGGAATCACAGCTCAGTAAGGGTTCTTTCTTAACACCCAAAGCCAGGTTTTCCGCAGTGTGCTAAAGGAGACACAACATACCTTGGGTAGTGGCTTCCTCTGGTGGCAGTTGATTCCACCAATGAAGATCATGTTGGGCATCACAGGTCTGGGATATTCGAAAACAAAGTCAGTTCTTAACAACCAAATAGATATTTGGCTGAAGAGATCACCTATTGTGACAGGTGTTGAGAGAATTTCAGAAGCAATTTCCAGAGCAGTTTGGAAAATATAAGGGCAAAATAAATACTCTTCCAAGTAGTTCAGGTGGTTCCTTACTCTCTCCATGAAACTCAAAGCATCTGAGGACATCAAGAAAACTCTGGGAACATAAGACAGAGGACTGGGACACTGTGCACCATCTTCAAGGTGATGGCAAAACACTACCCTGGTGAAGACCACGGATGGAAGTGAAAAGTACTTGGCAACAACTAGGCCACACACATCAAAAGGATCCAAAAACACTGCATCAAAAGAGCTCTCCTGTAAGTATTCCACTAGCTTCTTGTCATTAAACAAACTCCTACACCGTGAAAAAGTGATGTCAAAAAATGCTTTGGATGAACCCATTGCCAGACTATACATACTTTGTTCTGGAGTTTTCCATTGAGTGTCAACAAAAA